TTAAAATTTAAATCTGGCTGATATGTTTTTGGGTGCGGTCGCCAGCTCAGAGGTCCCGTCGCCGAATCTCAGAAAATTAAGGAAATCAAGGACTTTCTGCTCACAGCCCGGCTCAAGGAAGCCCAATCCCTCACGATCAAGAACAGGGATAACCTGAAGTTCAAAGTTCACCTCCGCAGGTTCTTTACTCCCTGGCCATCACAGACAAGAAGGCCACAGAAGCTGCAGCAGTCCTTGCCCATGGTTTAGCTGGGGAGGAGTTGAAATGAACCAGATTCAGCATTTGAATATATATATATTGAAAAGTCAAAAATAAAATAAAAATTTACATCCAATTTTTTGTCTTGCCATTTTTATTTAATTATTTTATAATCCTGGCTTGGAACTTACTGTGTAAACCAAATTGGCCTTGTACTTACAGAGATCCTCCTACCTCTCTGCCCCTTTTTGTCATCTCTGATGAACTTTGGATAGAACACAGAGTATTACATATAAAAGATACTTCTCTCTATACTTCTCACTAGGGGCCTGGAATCAGATATTTTTGCTTCCTTCAGTTTGCTTAAAAAAAAAAAAAAAAAAAAAAACAAAAGCACAACAGCGGGGTGGTGGTGGCGCATGCCTTTAATACCAGCCTTCGGGAGGCAGAGGCAGGTGGTTATCTGTGAGTTCCAGACCAGCCTGGTCTACAGAGCTAGTTCCAGGTCAGGCTCTAAAGCCACAGAGAAACCCTGTCTCGGGAAAAAAAGCAGAACAAAAGAAAGAAAGAGAAACCCAGGCTAGAAAACTCTCCTTGCCCAACTCAACTTTCCCCCACACCACACCACACACACACACACACACACACACATGCACACATATACACACACACATACATAAGCAAACACACACACATACACACGAGCCTTTTCTTCTCCCCAGAAAGACACAGCTTCACATCCTGATGTTTCTTTGTTCCACCAACCCTTTGTCAGTGTGGCAGGGTTCCTGGTGAGGAATTTGGGACACAGAGTATTATCCACACAACAGATGCCATGCCAAGCAGAATCTTGCCTCCTTCACCTCACTCCCTCCTGGGCCTTGTCCTGTCTTGTGCCAGGACACTTTGTCACATGAACCAACACCACGGCACACAGCAGACTAGTCTTTATTGCAGAAGTTGTACATGCCCAAGCTTTGGAACCCCCAAAATAGTTCTGGTCCTTCCCTTGGCAGGAAAATGCTCCCTTATGGCCACCAGAAGAGTGCACACTTATAATTACTCAAGAGATGGAATGAAACTCAAGAGTTAACTCAGCCTGGGCATTGGTGGCTCATGCTTTTAATCCCAGCACTCAGGAGGCAGATGTAGGCAGATCTCTGTGAGTTTGAGGCCAGACTAGTCTACAGATGGAGTTCCAGGACAACCTCCAAAGCAATACAGAGAGGCCCTGTCTCAAGAAAAAAAAAATGTTAACTCAGTGGGAATTGGTAATTTATAGAATTTGAAAACTCCTAGCAATCCTCCTGCCTCAGGCCCCAGAGTGGTAGAATTACAAGCCTAATGTTAGAATAAGAAACATTAAAGGATTTTTAAGAACAAAGCATTTACAGAAGAGTGGATTTTGATTTGAACTGTGTTCAAATCCCACAGCTATCAGGGACCCAGCACAGAAAGTTCCACCACTGGAAACCTCTTTCTAGGAACTCAAAGGACATTTAAGAAGAAATAGAAAAGGGATAAGCAAGCTGGGCCTGATACTGTGTGCTTGTAATCCAAGTACTTTGGGAGCTGTGATGAGAGGATCAGAATTTCAAGGCAAGCCTGGGCTATATAGTGAATTGGAGGCCAACCTGAGCTTAACAGAGAGACCTGTCTCAAATAAAATCCAAATACTAATCAGACAAGGAGAATAGGGAATCCAGAAACACAGATACATATTCTACAACCATGGATTCAGCAAATTGCTTGTCTGTCTGTCTGTCAAACCTTCAAATCCATCTGTCTCATCTAATGGATTACATCTGTATTGACTTTTCCTCCCTGCATCATACTCCCTCACAGAGAGCTTTACTACTGTTTCACAGTATTTCCATAATATTAGGTAGCTAGGTGATCTAGAGATTAGCCAAAGAGCCTGAGAGAGTTACAAACTCAATGCAAATCTATGTCCTATACAATAGTATGCCTGTTTATATAAGGAACCTGAGCACTCTGGATTAGGTAACGTAGGGCGTTCTAAAGATGATACCCCAAGGATACTTAAAGAGGATTGTACAATCATTAAGGGCAGCATTTAAATTCTCCTGCGAAATAGATAGTTTTTGCTGTTTGTTCATTTTTTTCCGAGACAGGCTTTCTCTGTAATAGTCCTGGCTGTCCTGAAACCAGGCTGGCCTCGAACTCACAGACATCTACGAGTCTCTGCCTCTCCAGGTAAAACAGTTTAACCAAAGGCGTGGGCATAATTGTCTCTCCATCTGGCAGAAAAAAAGTTTTACACACGCCCATACACAGAGAGGGAGAGGGAGAGAGGGGAGAAGAGATAGGTAACAATTAATCTTAGTGTGTTGTTTTTGAGACAGGGTTCTACGCCCTGTCTAAATCCTCCTCTACTCCGCTCCCTCCCCATGACAGGGTTTTTGTCTGTGTAGCCCTGATGGTTCTGGAACTCACTGTGTAGATACAGCTCCATGACTCCATGTTTGACTTTTCTGCAAACCAGATGCTCTCATTGGCATTGAAGCAATGGCTTTGAAGTATGAAATGCTTTAAATTTTTGTTATTGTTTATATTATTTATTATTATTATTATTATTATTATTATTATTATTATTATGTGTGTGTGTGTGTGTGTGTGTGTGTGTGTGTGTATGCACGAATATGCATGTCAATGAAAAGAGAGGTCATGAATTTAAAATAGAACGAGGAAAGGCATATGAGAGGACTTGAGGGAAGAGAAAGGAGGAATAATATAATTATAATCTTAAAAATAAAGGGCTGGAGAGATGGCTCAGAGGTTAAGAGCACTGATTGATCTTCCAGAGGTCCTGAGTTCAATTCCCAGCAACCACATGGTGGCTCACAACCATGCCCTCTTCTGGTGTGCAGATAAACATGGAAGCAGAATGTTATATACATAATAAATAAATAAAATCTTTTTTAAAAAAGAAAGAAAGAAAAGAAAAGAAGACTCTGATGACACCCTATGGAAGACCTCACCATCCAGGGGGAGCAGAAAGGACATGTGATAGGTAGGGTTTTAGTTGGGGGGGTGGTAGGGGAGGACAGGAGGGAGAGGGAACTGGGATTGACATGTAACACAATCTCGTTTCTAATTCAAATTTTTAAAAAAGGAAAAATAAAGAAGAAAGCTGAGTCTGCTTGTCACATGCAAATAATAACTGGGACTGAGCAAGCAGCAGTATTGTGCTTTCGGGCGGTGAATCCCACCCTTTAGTCTGAGAAAATGAACTACACAGAAATTAGACTGTAGAATACAAAGTTACTGTTTAACAGGTCCAGGAAGGTCTAAATTTTATTTGTGAGGCTGGATAGCAAACCCAGGACCTCCAGTTTTGATGTACCATTGAGCTACGCTTCAGCCCCAGAATTTATATTAATGAGTGGTTGTAGCTAAGGATCCAAATAGATTTGAAATTGTGTGTGTGTGTGTGTGTGTGTGTGTGTGAACGCATGGGCCAATCTATACTGATATCACTGGGGGAGGTTTGTAGGCACCCTGGGGCCTTCTCTTGGCTGAAGAAATGAGAAACCTGTAATACAGCACATCTGTAATGAGCTTGGCAAGCTAATGGGACCCTGAGCCCTACACCAAAATGAAGAGCTCTTCAGTCTGTCCCCGTTGGTGGGACCTGGGCATCCTGGACAGCCCATCTGCTTCCTTGTCCCAGATTCTTCCCGCATGAAGCACCGAGTAAAACCGAGAAGAGTGGAGTCTGAGTGTGACACCACTGTTACACTCACCGTGGTCACTATCAAATGGAATGATCTATTACTCAGCGAAGTCTGAAAGTGAAGAAGTGGCTTGAGGCCTTGAATATCCCTCAGCATCCCTCTGGTGTGGCAACTTCATGAGCTCGAGCTCTTATGTGAGCCTGGATGAATGTGGTGTAGAGCTATCCAGATTGGACGGTGCTGTGCTTGAGCAGGTGGTGTGGGCCAGGGCCAGGTGAATTGTTAGGTGTCAGAGGGCATCTTCTCCCTTGTCTTCGATTGCTTTCTTCATTCATTCCTTTACTTTGTTTGTTTGTTGATGTTTTGTGGGGAGGATGAGGGTGATGTTAAAACAAGGCCTTATTTAGCTCACACTGGCCTTGAACTGACTGTTGAGGATTGTCTTGAACTCCTGATCAAGGGCCTCCACCTCCTAAGTGCTGGGGTTACTGATGTGTGCCAGGAGACAGGGTTTCTCTGTGTAGCTTTGGAGCCTATCCTGGCACTCGCTCTGGAGTTCAGGCTGCCCTTGACCTCACAGCGCCCCCCCTGCCTCTGCCTCCTGAGTGCTGGGATTAAAGGCATGCGCCACCAACGCCCAGCCTCAGGTTGTTTCTTAATAACCCATTTCTTCTGGAGCAATGAGCAGACCTCTGGGGCTAGGTAGTCAAACCATGGTGTATCACTATTGTTTGAACTGTGAGTGGATGGATGGACTCTTTAACAAGTAGCTGAAACGGTGCTTATAGCACATTCCAGCTAGAACACAGGGACAAGAACACACTCAGAGCTTCCCTTTTTTCCTCAGTCTCATTCAGGCCTGAACACCCTGCCCCAGAGAGTCCTGCAGAAGGAGTCTGCTGTGACATCTGCACTTGCCCTCATGAACCGGTCCAATGGCCAGTCCACAGGTACCTGGGACAATGGGGAGAGGACTGGCCCAAGGGGACCAGAATCCAAGAGAGGGTATAAGGCGAGAATGTCAAAGAGGAACTCAACATGCCTGCTCTCTCCTTAGCTGCCCCTGGCCAGAAGTTGGCTGAAAATGTCAGTCGGGGCTCCAATGCCTTGTAAGTACCCCAGAGTAAGTCGGGGAACTTAAACTGTGGTGAGGCTGAAATGGGGAAATTAAAGGGAACACAGATAGAGAGAAATCAAACACCTTAGAATCTGAGCCAGCCAGCCCTGAGCTAGCTGCCTTCCCCCCACTTTATTAATCAGGCGGTCCCTCACTATTGACGACTTTGAGATTGGGCGTCCTCTGGGCAAAGGCAAATTTGGAAATGTGTACTTGGCTCGGGAGAAAAAAAGTCATTTCATCGTGGCACTCAAGATCCTCTTCAAGTCTCAGATTGAGAAGGAGGGAGTGGAGCACCAGCTGCGCCGAGAGATCGAAATCCAGGCACACCTGCAGTATGCTACTCACCCCTGGCCCTGGCCCCTCTGCCAACCTCATCACCCCACATTCCTATTTCTGCATCCCCAGCCCTGTCTTACACCATCTGGACCACCTACCCAGCTCTTCCTTATACTTCCACCCTGATCTAGGTCTTTGCCATCTGTCCTGTCTCCTAGATGCAAGCCGAAGCTTCCTTTCTCTTTGCCCCAGACATCCCAACATTCTTCGGCTCTACAACTACTTCTATGACCGGCGTAGGATCTACTTGATACTGGAATATGCCCCGAGGGGGGAACTCTACAAGGAACTACAGAAGAACAGAACTTTCGATGAGCAGCGGACAGCCACGGTCAGGATCCGGTGTGGGGCATGAGGCTGTGGCTATTGCTGGAAGTGGAGGCCTGTTTGACCTTCTGCTATGAACTCTCGTAGATCATGGAGGAGCTGTCGGATGCACTGATGTACTGCCACAAGAAGAAGGTGATTCACAGGGACATAAAACCTGAGAACCTGCTGTTAGGTCTCCAGGTTGAGGACTTTGGCTGGTCTGTGCATGCTCCCTCCCTGAGGTATGGTGGGGCTCGGGGGCTGTCCCTCGTGTGAGGCTGTGATATACAGCTCTTCTGCAAGTTGTTCCTTGAGATGGGGTTTGTCTCCATGCAATATAGATGTAGCAAAGTCTTTACAAAAATAGGTAACACAATAATTCATGCTCTAAATTTTCTACTCTTTCTATGAAATATAGTGGGCCCTCTCTTACCATATCATTGTGGAAACTCCCACATGATTGATTGATTGATTGATTGATTGATTGATTGATTGATTGAAACAGGGTCCTATGTAGCACAGAATGACTTCAAACTCACTATATAGCCAAAGATAACCTTAAATTTCTGATCACCCTCCAAACATAGCTGAGTTACAGGCAAGCATCACCATGTCAAGTTTACCCCTGCCGACCCTGTTCATTCTAAGGAGATACGGCCTCACCGAGTTCCCCGGGCTGTTTTTAAAGGCCCAGGTGCAAATGAGTATCTGGTATCACAGGCATACGCTGACATGCCTGGTTACCAAGGTCACATTTTATTTGATTTGGTTTGGTTTTAGTGTTGAGGATGGAACCCAGGGCATTGCCTATGTTAGGAAAATGCTCTTTCACTGAGCCACATCCCTCAGAACCGCTTCCCAGTTTTTTAACTGTTTGGTTTTTTTTGAGACAGCGTTTCTCTGAGTAGCCCTGGCTATACTGGAACTCACTTTGTAGACCAGGCTGGCGGCCTCAAACTCAAAGAGATCCACCCGCCTCTGCTTCTTCCTGAGTGCTGGGATTAAAGGTGTGCTTACTATTGCTTGGCCTCTTCTTTTTAATAATTTATGTGCATTGGTGTTTTGTCTGCATGCATGTCTGTGTGAGGGTGTCAGATCTTGGAGTTACAGATAATTGTAAGCTGCCATGTGGGTGCTGGGAATTGAACCTTGGTCCTGCAATCAGTGCTCTTAACCACCGACAAATCTCTCCAGACCTCCTCTTCACAGTTTTGTTTGTTTGTTTGTTTGGGCTTTTTTTTTTTTGGTTTTTTGAGACAGGGTTTCTCTGTGTAGCTTTGGAGCCTATCCTGGCACTCAAGCTGGAGACCACGCTGGCCTCGAACTCACAGAGATCCGCCTGCCTCTGCCTCCCAAGTGCTGGGATTAAAGGCATGCACCACCAACGCCCGGCTCTCTTTACAGTTTTTAGACAAGATTTTACCCTGTAGGCCTACCTGGCCTCAGACTGACAATTTACCTCAAATGTCCAATTAAGCCAGAGGTAGTGGCTTATTCCTTTCAGTCCAGCCCTAGTGAGGCAATGGAAGGTGGATCTCTCTGAGGTTAAGTCCAGTCTGGTCTACTTAGTGAGTTCCAGGCCAGCCAAGGCTGTATTATAGAGAGAACCTGTATCAATATTAACAAAACAAAAATCTTGCCAAGGATTGGGATTAGAGGTGTATATCACAGTATCTGGTGACCTGATCATTGTTTAACACTTCTTGGTATTGCACAGTAAAAATATAAACCGACTTATTTAAGTAGTGTATATTCGGTGGATATTAGAGATGTTTTCTGTTTCTTCTTTGAAATGAGCATTGCCCTCATCTCTGATTGTTTTTATTTATTTTTTACTTATTGAGATTAAGATAGCTGGGCGGTGGTGATGCACACCTTTAGTCCCAGCACTTGGGAGGCAGAGGCAGGCAGATCTCTGAGTTTGAGGCCAGCCTGATCTACAGAGTTAGTTCCAGGACAGTCTCCAGGACAGTCTCCAAAGCTATACACAAAGAAACTCTGTCTCAAAAAAACAAAAAATTAAGATAATCCATTAGTGTGGCCAGACCTTCCTGGGATCTCTGAGCTGCCTACTATCAAGTAAAGAGAAAAGAGAGGCTGATTTTTTCCAGGCCCTACCCACTTCTCATCCCATCAGGAGGAAGACCATGTGTGGCACCCTGGACTATCTGCCCCCAGAGATGATTGAGGGGCGCATGCATAACGAAATGGTAGACCTGTGGTGCATCGGGGTGCTCTGCTATGAACTGATGGTGGGGAACCCACCCTTTGAGAGCCCTAGCCACAGTGAGACATACCGTCGGATTGTCAAGGTAGGATACCTGCCTGGGCTCTGTGTGCTGTGGAAGCCAGGGTCTGGGGTGGGCAGGGTAGATTTATAGGGCTCTGCACAGTCTCCCTATTTCATGAGCAGTACTTATTCTCTGACAACTTCATACAAATGCACCTTGATTACCCACCCCGACTCCTTTCCCAACACATGCCCCACCCACCGTCATGTCCTTTTTCTTTTTATAGCCCCCTGAGACCAGCTAGTGCTGCCAGCAACCTACCTGTACCCACACTCCCAAAGGAAAATGACTTCCTTTCTTTCCCTCAGCAGCCATCCATTGTTAATAATGCCTCCTTTGGGGGTTGCAAAAATCTCTTGAGTTGTCAAGGAAAATGTAGTCAGGGTAACACAGGTGAAACCTTTCTCTTTTCTTCCTCTGCAGGTGGACCTGAAGTTCCCTCCTTCTGTACCTGAGGGGGCCCAGGACCTCATCTCCAAGCTGCTCAAGCATAAACCCTCAGATCGGCTGCCCCTGGCCCAGGTCGCAGCTCACCCTTGGGTGCGGGCCCACTCTAGGAGGGTACTGTCTCCCTCTGCCCTTTAGACTGCTTTCTTCATTTTTGTCTCTGTTGTTTGTATATTTGTGTATGTGTTGGGGGGAGGGAGGGTTGCTCACAACCATCCCCAAATCCCGTTCTAAGGAATCTGACCTGTCTTCTGACCTCCACAGGCAAAACCATGCACACATGTGGTGCACATATGTGCAGACAAAACATATATAAAACAACAACAAAAAAAACACAGTACTGGAGAGATGGCTGAGCAGGGCTGTTTTTCCAGAGAACCAGGAGTTCAGTTCACAGTATACCACATGGTGCTTACAACCATCCGTAGCACTAGGCATGGATGTGGCACACATATACACAGTCAGAATTTTAAGGAGCCATAGAGTCTGATTTCTTTCAATTTGCCAAATGTTTTAAAATACCGTAAGTCAAAAATGCATTAATCCGTGAAACATGTTTAGTCTAGCCTATCTTAAAATTCAGAAAAATTATGTAGCACAAAGTATATTTTATAATAAAGTCTTAAATATTTCATGTTTTTGAATACTGTTTTGAGAGTAAAAAGTAGTGGTTATACTTTGGTAACATTATGAAGCCAAAAACCCCAAGTTAGCTTGGCATGTTGGTCCATGCACTCAGGGGGCTGAGTCAGGAGAATCACCATAAGTCTGGGACATCTTGGACTACAAATCACGTTCCAGGACACACAGTGATGCAAGTAAAACCTTTGCCTGCTCATGGGACTCTCTTCCTCCTGTTGGGCTGCTGTGTCCAACTTAAATTTGAAAGTTTTGCATAAGGGGACAGAGGAAGCTAGGGAGGAGTGGGGTGAATAGAACAAAGCATTATGGGGCTGGACTCAGCACTTAAGAACTCAGATTTGGTTCCAAAGAACTCAGGTTAGGCAAATTCACAACCATGGGATCTGACCTTTTTGTGGCTGTACACATGCACATGAATTTAAAAAAGTGTAATGGTATACATGTTTGAAAATGCCACAATTAAGTCTATTTCTTTATTATATTCTAATAAATTGTAATTTTAAGAAAATCCACAATTTGGTCAAAGTCCTCAGGAGCCAGTCACTTGCCCCAAACCCATCAGCTAGTAATCAAACCCCAGAACATAACTGTTTGGGGACATCAAAGGTTCAAACCATAGCACCATCCTATATATGGACTATTATGTAGTTCTTTTTAAATAAACATTTAATCAGTTGGTGGTGGTGAAACTATGAGAACATCTGGAACAGAGAGGAGCAGAGAACCAACTCAAAAAAAATTGTTCATTTATTTTGAGTGTGTTCCATGTTTGCTCTCACACCATGGCTCTTACGTGGAAGTTGAAGGACAAGTTCCCTCCTTTTCTACCATGTGGGACCCAGGGATTTAACTTGGGCTGCTGGGCTGCTAGTTGCCTACATCTCATAATCAGCTATATCTTGTGGATAAAAAATTATGTGTCTGCTCTGAACATACAAGAAATAAAGCTTGTTGGGGGTGGGGGTCAGGTGTATGGTGCCTCATGCCTGAATCCTAGCACTAGGGAGGCTCAGGCAGAAACATCTTGAGTTCAAGGCAAGCTGGGCTGCAGGAGTGTGGGCCACAAGACTTAGCCATATTGCTTAGAAGAGCAGACAGTGGGAAGGGGAGCACAGGAAAGGAGTTATGTAATGGAACTACTGTCTGTTGTGGAATGTTTGCTATAGGAGACAGGTGGAGTAGGCAGAAGACTAAGATGTATGAAGTGATGGTAGCTCAGCCTCACGTGAAGGCACTACATTCTGCCACTCTGGAAAGGCAACAGTACTCAAAACAAATTGGTGGAAAAACTAGCTAACAAGGTCAATAAAACAAGCCAGGCATTGGTGGTGCACACCTTTAATCCCAGCACTAAGGAGGCAGAGGCAGGAGGAGTTCGAGACCAGCCTGGTCTATGAGAGCTAGTTCCAGGACAGCCTCCAAAGCCACAGAGAAACCCTGTCTTTTGAAAAACAAAAACAACAACAACAAAAATCAATAAAACAAATAGCAGCACATGCTGTTGAGGATCAGGGGAAAGGAAAGCACTTATTCCTTGCTGGTGGGAGCGCAAACTTGTACAGCCACTATGGAAATCAGTAGAACAGTTCCTCAGGAAGCTGGAGATGGATGCACCTCAAGATCCTGCTATATCACTCTTGGGCATATACCCAAAGGACTCTACATCCTACTACAGGGACACTTACTCATCCATGACCATTCATAATAGAATTAAAAACAGCCTAGATGTCCATCAACTGATGAATGGATAACGGAAATGTGATATTTTTACACTACGACACTACAGGTGAATGAATAGAACTAGGAAAAAAATTATTCCGAGTGGGGTAACCCAGGCCCAAAAAGACAAAGATTGTTTTCTCTTATTTGTGGATGTTAGCTTTTAAGCTTTTGATGTGTGCTACAGTTTGAATAAGCACAAAGGTTAGGTACCTTGTAAACAGCTAGGGGTTAGGAGAGGATCTCTAAGAACAGGAAATAGAATATGTTATGGAGAAACGGGAGGGCTGGCAACTAACTAAATGGCATTTTTAAAAACATAGGAAGGCCAGACAGTGGTGGCACACACCTTTAATCCCAGCACTTCAGAGACAGAGGCCACCCTGGTCTACAGAATGAGTACCAGGACAGTCAAGGCTACACAGAGAAACCCTGTCTCGAAAAACCAAATAAACAACTATATGAAAAATCTGTAGAAGCTTCCTAAAATCTATACATATATGAAAGGAATCTAAATGGAATCACCAAATAGTAGGGAAGACAATACTAGACATCTTATGCCACCAAGTAAAACCTCCAGTGCCAGGGATGGTTCCATCTTGTTTAGTGGTTGGTCAAAGGGATCCTTTTGAGCTCTCTAAAGATCAAAGGCTGTTGCTAAGCCTATTCGTTACTCTTCCCAATCTAATGCTAAGTCCCCATTGCTGAAGACAACACTTACTTGTGTAACACAACACAGAGAAGTCGAGCCGGTGTCTAACTAGAAGCTTCACTCCTACTAACTAGTATTTATGGTACTGGAAGGCACTCTGCATGCTATTGGAAAGGAAAGGAAATCATCATTAACCCCCAGTGACAAACAGTGTTACCTACAAGTGCAATAACAGCACAAATGTTATGGAGATAACCACTTTTTAAAAATTGGACTTAAGGCTCACTCCAGGAGATGGAGCCCATACCAGACTACATAGGTCATGGGCCTAGGTTAGGTACCCAGCACTTATTCTGCTGCTGCTCTTCTACAGTCATAAAAATGATTCCTAATGGCATATTGCTATGCCCATGGAACAGTACGTCGCTCAACCCTCCTAAGAGAAGTTTCTTTCATTACACGATTATTAACAGAGACCCACAACTAGACGAAGTGCAGAGAGCGAGAGACTTTGAAGTATTCAGTCCTAAATGGGATATCTTCATCAAACCCTCCCCTCAGAGGCCAGGACTCTACGTGGAAGAAGAGCAGAAAGATTGTGAGAGCCATAGGTGATGGATGACCAAGTACAATGGTATAGTGGGACTGATGCACATGTGAACTCCCTGAGACTGTGGTAGCATGTACAAGGCCTGCACAGGTTTCAGTCAGACGGTCCCGCCCTGAGGAGGGAGGGTACAGAAAGCCCCACCCCTAATCAACCTATCTGCAACTGACACCTGCTGGCAAAGGGAAAATCAGTTTTCTTTAACAGAGTCTCATTGGGTTTATCAGTCACATTCAAATGCAGACACTGTGCCCAGAAAGAGTTGGCTAATACAGTACCAACTCAGTGGTATTTTTTATGGACTTTTTGTTTTGTTTTGCTTTAGACATTTTTTTTTTGCCTTAGTCTTTTGCTTGGTTTTGATGTTAATTTTTGTAGCTTTTTGGTGTTTCTTGCTTTGCTCTTGTTTATTTTCTGTGTATCAGTGTTTTGCCTGCAAGTATGTCTGTGTGAGGGTGTCAGATCTTGGAGTTACAGACAGCTGTGAGCTGCCATGTGGGTGCTGGGAATTTAACCCAGGTCCAGCAATCAGTGATCTTAACTTCTGAGCTCTCTCCAGCCCTTTTGCTTTTATATTTATCTATTCATTTATTTGTTTGTTTATTTTGGTTTTGTTTTGTTTTTAGGCAGAGTTTCTCTGTGTAGCCCTGGCTGTCCAGGAACTCACTCTGTAGACCAGGCTTGCCTTGAACTCACAGAGATCCTCCTGCCTCTGCCTCCCTAGTGCTGGGATTAAAAGTGTGCATCACCATCGGAACACCTGGTTTGCTTTTATTTTTAAAGGAGAGAGAGCATACAAGTTGGGTGGGTAGGGAGATGGGAAGAATCTGGGGGGAGTTAGGGAGGGAAAACACGATTAAAATATATTGTATGAATTTTTTTCAATAAAAAATAATAAAAGAAAATCTATTAGTGAAAGAGAGAGACACACAAAGAGAGAAAAAGCCAAAATGTACACTTTCACATCAAATGTCATCTTATTATTTGAATTTAAAACCCATTTTGGCGGTGGCAAGTTATTCCTTTGGCATGTTTTGCGATTCCTTGAATTATGGTTAAAAAAAAAAAAGTTAAAAGACTTGCAAAAACCGGGCAGTGGTGGCGCATGCCTTTAACCCCAGCACCTGGGAGGCAGAAGCAGGAAGATCTCTGAGATGTTCGAGGTCAGCCTGATCTACAAAGAGAGTTCTAGGACAGCTAGGGCTGCACAGAGAAACCCCGTCTTAAAACAACATCAATAGCAAGAAAAACAAGAACAGAATAAGGACAATCAGGGTGCAGAGGACTGCAAAGGTCAATGTTGGTGCTGGCAAAAAGGGAAAGTAAAGACTGCGATGGTTATCAGCGGCGACTGTACAAACTAAACTCTTCACATAGGACTCCGTTTCAAAAACAACAATCACACCTATCATAAGCCAAGGGAAAATGTTAACAATAAAGACAAGGGACCCAGAGCTTCGGTTGTGTTTTGCAGCTGACGACTTTTCAACCAACAGTTAGCCCAGGGAAAACAGTCTC